CCCCCCCCCCATTGATGTCTCTATCTTAATAGGAAGTATCAGTGAGAGGAATGGACTGGAGTGCCTTGGAGTTTGGGTGGATTCTCCACCGTTGGCACTCTTTCAACAGAAGTTGGGTGGTCCTCTTTCTAGAGTGAATTGTGTCAGTGGTGTATATGTGTGTGTCTGTCTGTGTATATGTCTATGTGTCTTCAAGTCACCCACATTTAATGGGGTTTTCTTGGACATGGGATACTCACTGGTGGTTTTGCCACTGCCTTCCTCCAAAACACAGCCTACAACACCTGGTTTTCATTGGTGGTCTCCCATCCAAATATTAACCAAGCCTGGCCCTGTTTGGTGTCCATGATCAGATGGGAACTGGTGTCCTTGAGGTATTGAGGCTCTATTGTGTCAGACAGACTGATACATTTGGAGGTAACCACAGTACCACCAATGGTGTCTGATGGCTTCCATCTGTGGGATGAGATGGAGAACTTGCTTTGACCTTCAAGGTGTTGACTCTATTGGGGAGATATAGGATTCAGCACCATGGACAGTACCTTCCACCAAACCATGGAATGCATTTACCACCCAATGGCATGGAAGCCACCAGAAATCCTTATACACCACACTGTGGAAACATGGCCTGCCTTTCACTAGTCCATCAAGACATATGGCATCTTCAGTCTAGGCTTGTACCCTTGAACTGTATGAAAAGTAATGATAACCCACTATGAGATTCCAACCAGCACCACAAGGGAGCAGTACTGGCTGCTCATTTCAAGTGCTTGTTGTGTTGCCGAACACACACATCCACTATCCCAGAGGAAATAGTTCAGCCTTTGTCCTGACTAAGAATATCAGTCTTGTCATTCTTCAGCCCCTTGTTCAAAGAGGAGTATTCTCTGCAGCGTTCTTTCTCTCACTGTGGAAGGAGAAAACAAAGATCTCTATGCAATTCTCTAGAGGTGTTCACATCTTGCAAAGTGTTTCAGGGAACTGTCTTCTGCAGAAAGACTCATGGTATTTCAACACTAACCCTCGACGTTTTCTGCACAGGAAATAGTGCACCTTATGTACCCTGCACCTTATGCATATGTAAGTTCCTTAGGATCTGGCTTTTTGAAAGAATGTATGCCTTCAAGTTGATTCTGACTCATAGCAACCCTATCATGGGTTTTTCTTGGCATGTTTTTCAGAGGAGGTTTGTCATTGCTATCCTCTAAGGCTGAGAGACTGTGACTTGCCCAAAGTCACTCAGTGGGTTACCATGGCCAAGCAGGGATTTGAACCCTGCTCATCCAGAGTCATAGTCCAATGCTCAAACCAATACACTACACAGACTCTTTTTAAGATCTTTGGGGCAGGGCTTTCTCTCGATCCCACCATCATCACAGGTACATCTGGTAAGGATTCAGGAGAGGGTCTTCTTGGTGGCTGCTCCCAGGCTTTGAAATTCTCTTCCAAGAGAGGTTCAGTTGATCCCTGCCTTGTTCTCTTATTGCTGGTAAGCAAAAGCATGGGGTACTCACTGTTCATTTTTAAAGAGGCCTTCAGTTTTGAACTGGGTGGGGTGGTGCAACAGGTGCGCTAGTCTTAAAAGCTAATAAGTTTTAATATGTTTTTAACTGTTCTAAATTTACATTGTAAAGTGGATTGATGTTCAATGCTTTTCAAATTCATGCATGCAGATTGCTTGAGCACTTTTATTTTACCTGCAGTGTAAGGTGCTTTGGGTCCCATCTGGGGATATAAGAGAGGGATATAATCAGTGTGTCATAGTGGTTTGAGCATTGGACTACAGGTCTGGAGACCAGGGTTTGATTCCTCGCATGGCCATCAAACACACTGGGTGACCTTGGGCAAGTCACACTCTTAATTTTGCGAGTTGCTTATGTCATGACTATAGCCGTTACGTTTAGTGATATACTGGATATACATTCAGTGATATACTGGAATTAACGATTTATGAATAACATTGGTGCAAAAAGCATTACTAATGATTCTGTATGGTGTGCGATGGGAGGAGGTCAATGGGGGTGATGGTGGCACCATGAGTTGCCATACCGGGTGATGCCAACCCTAGTGATGCCAATGACTGTTGGAGTGTTAGCATCAATGCTTGTGTGTAGCTCTGTTTTCCTTTGAGAAGGGGCAGTGACCTCTACACAGGAACACTGATTTATCTCTATGGTCATTTGGTCAGTGTGACTGTTAGAAGAGGTCACTTCTCATACCCCTCTTCTTTCTGGGGGTTTCTTCCTGGGTTGTAGCAGAAAAATAGGACAAAGAGACACCATGGATTGAAGGAAAGAGAGTTTATTCTGAAAAAAACACAATTACACTAGCGGGCTCAACAGGCAATAACTTTCCAAAGGTGCTGAGCCCAGAACTAAGCAACTGTGCATCCTTTTATAGTGATCTTACAAATATGTCCAGCATATAGGAAAACCACTCCCTCTTCCCTCTCTAGTTCAGTTAGTTTCACAATGTTCAGCACTTTTTTGCTAAGCAGACATTGTTTTCAGAACATAGGAATCTTACGTAGAAAATGTTTACAATACATGAAGTCTACAGTCTTTATCAATGCAACCTTGACTACAATACAGAGCACGGAGCTAAGAGAA